ATAACGTTTTAGGTATAACTACTGCTCCTATTTAAGTTAAAAGAAGTTTTGTTTCCTCAGGATCCAGTATGAAATATCCAAGAAGGCAAATAAATCAAACTTAAGCTACCCAATAATCTGATGGCTTCGAATTCTTCTGCGCGGACATTTGTGTCCACCATTTCCGAAGAGCTAATTAAACCTTCCTCTCCCACGCCATCTACTCATAGATCTCATAAGCTCTACACTTGAACAATCCCGAAGACAGAGTTACATGCCTTATGGTTTTTGCTACCAGGGAACAGCAGCTGGATCCTACTCAAATTTATCAGTGTCTTGTCTATTCTCTATCCAGACATCTTGTCTCTTTTCTAGGTCTATTTTAAGAATCATGTTGGTCATTTTACCCTTGAGTTTGTTAAATCTAGACATAACATCCTGGATAACGATGGCATTATCACTCACCCTCCTATTCTTAAAAAGCTCTTGAGGTTTTGGGTGGGCAAATAATTCCCCTGATCATGCTTCAGGCTTACTGATTGTAGTCCAGTTAAGCTATTTTGCATGTGGAGGAATAGCTCTTCACTTATTGTGTAGCACCTGTCAAAGAACCAGGTAAACTATGCTACACATATTTAATGAAACCCTTGAGTTATATACTACTCTCATTAATAAGTGAGAGAAAGGAACTCATGGTACTCTCCATCTGATGCCTATCAACCACATTGTAAAGAAGACAAACTCCAACAGAGATACCGATCTATGCAGCGTCAATTTTGACGTTGCAAATATGACTCTCTTTACCTTTACCCGCTACAACACCTCCCCCCCCCCCCCCCCCAAAAAAAAAAAAAAAAAAGAACCAGAGCCCTAAAACCTCCTCATTTCTACCCTGAACTCTGAAGATATTCAAAGATGACTTACCCCATAGCATTGATTCTATTGGTACCCTGCTTTAAATATAACTAGTAAAGCAAAATACAATCTCCTTCTCCTTCTCCTTTTCCTTTTAAGCAGATCAGCAGTAAGCATATATTTACCAAAGCCTAGGAGAGTAGCGTCGTCCCAATCCACCCTTTCTTGGGACAATACAGTATGTGTTCCAACCAAAGAATGTGGTATTAATCACAAAATCACAGAAAGTCAAAAAGCACAGGTATACGCCAACCACTGCGCAAGTAGAAGTTGATACGGAATAGGTAACAGAACACACAACGAAATCTATCTATCCAATAGTAAAAAGGGAACTTGCAATAGGTCACAACTTGTACTGGAATCCAACAGCTTTAGCATAATCTTTCTGTCCTATAATTTAGTTCATTTTTTAAAAATAGAAGAATAACTAGTAAGTAATGCAATTAAACAAAAGCTGATGTATCTTTATTCCTCTACAGATTCAAGCAAAATTAAGAAGATAACCAAAAAGGTTACCTCCTTTACACACTGAGGATTCAAGATTCACCATACTAGCCACACGTCAAGACGAGAACTTTTCAGCAACTAATCTTTGCGTCTCGAGTTGAAATATCCACCACGCCAAGTCGTTCATTTTCAGGCAAAATTGACCAATTTGGAGACTGCACTGCTCGTAACCACTTAAAATCATCCACATTGGACCAATTCCCTGTTTCTTCACCAAGATTAGCTTCTTCAAGATTCTTCTCAATCCCATCATACTTCAAGCAATACGGCGCAAACCTTACACCATTACTATCCTCAACTATCGGCCTACTCCTCACTCGAAGATAAAAATCACACCTTTTTGCTTGATGAATCCGAATCTGATGCGACGCCATCATAAAAACACAATCTTTCGCTTCCTCAATCAAAACCGACCCAAAAACAGGTCCAACATAAACCTTACAATCAATCAGCTTATTTACAAACAATGCCCTTATATTCCCCATTAATCTCACCTCACAACCCCTTAAATCTGATAACACGAATTCCCTAATCTCCTCATCACTGCCCCTATTATTAAATTCCTTCACTAACACCTCATTTTCGTTTCCCCTAAATCCCGGAGAATCCAAAACCTTAAACCCTAAATCCCTCGATTCCACATTTTGGCTGTTGTTATCCAAAACCCTAGGCCCTAAATCATCACTTTGGGTTGTGGTTTTCTTTGTTGATTTGTTCTTGAAAGAGAATTTCTTCTTCGGGATTACATCGCACGTGACCTGTTCGACGATTTGTTTGAGATCTGCTACGGTTTTGAGGCACGTGCGGACTTCGTAAGGAGGAAGGGAAAATGAGTTTTCAGCGACGAGCTTTTCGAGATTAGAAATGGAAAGTGAGATGTTGTCGAGTTCGGGTTTTAAGGTCGGGTTGGAATGCGGGTCGGGTGTTTGACGGATGCGGGAGAGTGTGGATTCAATGGAGTTTTTGGATTCGGAGAAACGGGAAAGGAATGAGCTTGTGGAGTTTGAATCGGATTCGGGTTTGCGGGTCGAACGGGATTGGTGTAGGTTTGAAAGGCGTTCGATCATTGCTGCATGCTTCCGTTGGAGAGCGGAATCTGAAGAATCGGCGGTGCTGGTGGGGTTTGAGAGGTGATCGTCTTCTTCCATTGATGAAGATTCAGAGCTCAACTTTACTGGACGTGAAGGAAAATATTATGGAATTAAAATAATGGACTACTTTTGTTTAAAGTTTAAACCGTCGCACTTTGGTCCCTCTGTAAATTATAGTCTGTTTGGCCAAACATCTCAACATGTCAAAAGTCCTTTTTTTCTCAAAAACATTTTATTTTCTACATTAAATTATTTGGCCAAGCTTTTTTTTGGGAAAAAAAAAAGTACTTTTTGAAAGAAGCAGAAGAAGTTTCGGAGAAGCAGAAAAAAGTAACTTCTTCCCAAAATCAGAAGCAGAAGCAGTTTTGACTTTTCTTCTTACCAAGAATACCCTTAACAAAATATAGTATATACCAAAATAACCGTTAAACTTAATACTTAGGATATTAATATATAAATATTTTTTATTATTTTTAGGATTGCTTTCTAATATATAGTGACTTTAGGGGTGAATGCTTTTATATTTGTAGAATAATTTTTAATATATTTAACTTATATTAAAAGAATTAAGTACTTTTAAATTTTATTTTCATATTTTACTTAAATAAAATAAAAAGATTTAATTATTGCCTGTAATAACAAAATTTTAAGATTATTTATTTACTTATAATATTAACTATTAAGTAAATCTATTCATTTCCTTATTCGTAATTTGATACTTAAAAGCACTTTCTGAAAAAGCTTGGTTAAACATAAATTATTGCTCAAAAGTGCTTTTTAGAGTTATTAGCCAAACACAAACTGTTTCTCTTCAAAAGTATTTTTTTCAAAAGCACTTTTCAAAATAAGCTGATTTCTCCAGCTTGGCCAAACAGGCTATTAGAGCCTTATAGCATGTTTGGCCAAGCTTCTAAAATCTGCTTATTTTTAAAAGTGCTTTTCAAAAAATTACTTTTGGTGAGAATTGATTTGTGTTTGGCTAATTAATTTGAAAAGCACTTTTGAGCAGTAATTATTGTTTGGCCAAGCGTTTGAAAACTGCTTCTAAGTGTATTTTTTGTCAAAAGTGCTTCTTAGAAAAGTGTTTTTGGAGAGAAGCTACATTTTTCTGTTTCCCCTCAAAAGCACTTTTTTTCCTTCTAAAAGTTTGGCCAAACACCTCAAATTTTTGCCAAAAGCACTTTTGGCCCAAAATAAACTTGGCCAAACAGGCTATTACACCCTTAGGGGTCGTTTGGTTGCGGGTTTGAGTTATGCATGTATTAGTTATACATGTAGGGTTCGTTTGGTATGAGGTATAAGGTGGGATAAGATATAGGATTAAATTTATACTCTGTTTGGTTGGAAGTATAAATTTATACCTCCAACCAAACAGAGTATATATTTAATCCTAGACTTAATCCAGGATATCCCATCTTATCCCACCTTATCCCATCAAATATGGGATTATTTTATCCCATCTCTAATGTGGTATAAATTAGTCCTGGGATTATAATCCCAAGATAATTTAGTCCGCGTACCAAACAACCCCGTATTAGTTATGCAGGAATAAGCAAATGTAGAGATTAGTTATGCGGATATTAGTTATACATGGATTAGTTACGAAGGGATTATATTTTTTGAATATTTGCTTTGTTGTATTAGAAATTGATATAAATTATATAAATTTTAAAGTAAAATACTTATTTACTGATTTTGTCTCTAATAGATTGAGAAGAGGAAGAGCCTAGCAGTGAGGCATCACTATCTCCATGCTTGTTCTCCAAAGGGTTTGATACAGATCAATCTATAGAAGGAAGCTTTTACGTGTAAAATGATAGGGGTAAATTTGTCATTTCAATATTTTATTCATGTATTAGTTAATTCATCTTCTACCCCGCATAAAATAATACACAAATTGACTCATAACTTATACATATATTATTTATGTAGAATTGTAAAATGACAACCAAAAATGGTATTAGTTATGCTGAATTTTGTACAAAATAACTAATGGCTACCAAACATTGTATAAATTATGTTGTCCCCAATACATGGATAACTTTTCTCCTAATCAGCTACCAAACGACCTCTTAGCGCTCAAAATGCTGCGTGTTTAAAATTCAAAACTTTAAGTTCTGGCCAAACTTGTTACACATCTGACTGAAAAACATTTGATTCTCAAAAATAAGCTAAACTAAAAAAAAAAGTGTTTAATTTAACAAAAAATGGCACGTGTTTAAAATTTAGAACCGTACTTACTTCAAAAAAGCATAACGTTTCATCAGATAATAAGTATTTTTTGCTTCACGACAGGTGATAAGTTCTTTAGAGTTTAAAACAAGGAAACTTTACGAATGGCCATCGGACTAGAGGTCATAAAACTTAAATTTGCAACCAAAGGAGTTCAATTATCCACAATTTCATGGTTATGTTTTTTAATTTTCAAGCTACCTGTAATATACATGCACTTGAAAGTGTTGCTGTTCATGCATTCTAGAAAAAAGGGTTTTAAAAACAGCACACAAATAACAGGGAACGCTTGAACCTTTTTAATAGCAACTGAAGAAAATCAACATAAGGCGGTAGCACAAATACTGAGATGAAGACAGTTACAAATGCCATTTCTTTGTATATTCTGCTAAGAAATGGTTAAAAAGAAAAGGATTCCTGAACTAGGAATCACAAGATATATAATCACAAGTTTTAACAGTAACCACTGAATCTTTAATGGTTTTATAGAGCACAGAGTTATCAGCTACCTCACCATCAGAATTGAAAGAACTTGTGGTACGACGTGAATAAAAACCCAAAATTGTTCCAAACCTCATCAATATCTAGCAAATGAGCTAATTGACCATCTATAATAGTATAGTTGGATGCAACTTCTTCTTTGTGTATGTTCAACTTCTTATCTCTCTTGTTACATACAAAATCTAGCATGCGCAACCTCCTCCTTGCTGCTCTGTGTGCGATGAATTTGAGGTAGGCTTCAAATTCACATCAACCATATCTTCTTGCTTTGTGGACGAAAGGGCTTCCATTCCCGGTAAAGCAGCAGCAATCTTTCGGAACAGAGGCTGTAATGTTCAATCACATTTTAGTGTCATCCTATTTGACTATTAGTTGGTTATACAACTAAAGGGAAACCCGGCGCACAAAATGTCCCGCATTCACGCAGGGTTCGGGGAAGAGCTGCACCCCTAGGGGTGTGATGTAGACAGTCTACCCTAATGCAAGCATTAGTGGCTGCTTTCACGGCTCGAACCCGTGATCTATAGGTCACACGGAGACAACATTACCATTGTTCCAAGGTTACACAACTATGAAAAGGAAAAGAAGTCAAATCTTATGTTATGCGCAAATATTAAGTGATGAAGAGGAGATTGCAGCTCCATAACATAATTTGACCAAGGGGCAAAAGAAATAGAACGGCAATTGTCTCTAGGGGCTTGAGATGACTGTACCTTGATATTGAATCCAGCTTTAGCACTGGTTTCTATGAACATTACGTTAAATTCACGAGCCTTGGTTTCGCCTTCTTCAATGGATACTTGCCTGTTTAAACATCATCGTTCAAATCAGAGAAATAGTGGAAAAGATTGACATCATATTATAGTGGATTTAAATCCAATTTCCCCTAATCGATAATCTTTAAAAAGCAGGTTTTATTTTTCTGAACAAATATAGGAAGAGAAGCGAATTGGCAGGAGACCATGCCCAAAACAAAGTCAAGAATCAAACTCCTTCCAGCTATAAGCACTATACAAGAATGAAACAAAATAGAAGTCCCTGACTCTTTGAAAATAATATTCAAAATCGGGGGCATGTCTTACAAAATCTTATGGCGGAGCCAGAATTTCAACTTTATGGGTTATGGATTTTAAAATAATGATTTCAAGTGCTAATAGCTGGGTTCTAAATTTAATATTTGTACATAATTAAAAAAAAATTTAACACAAATATACTGTTTGAGCAAAAGCTACTGGGTTCGGTCGAAACCGTAGCCGGGCTTCTAGCTCCGCCCCTGACCAATATGGTTGCTGCGACCAAAGTTCTAGGTGCCTAGGCCTAACCAGAAATAAAGAAGTCTATAGTACAAATCATGCGAACGTTTAAAGTAAAATAGGAAAAGGTAAACCACGAAAAAGGTACAGCTCTGGTTAAGTGGGAAAAGCAATTGTCAAAGTAAATGAATCAACAAATGAAGCAACCATCTGGAAACCTACCTTTTATCAACAAGATCAGTTTTGTTCCCAACAAGAACGATTATGACATCACTGCCCCGTTCGGTACGTACTTCCTCAATCCACTTTGAAGTGTTTAGAAATGATTGGCGGTCTGCGAATGCCATGATTTATCAGAATATAAATGTCATGGCACATAAAAAAAATTAAAAAATAATCAAAGACAAATATCATACTGCATTGGATAACCAATAGACTGACTTCCTTAGAGACTTCTATTCTTAGTATGCTCACCAATCCTAAAATTGTTGAGTAGGCCACAAAGGGCACAGATATATGTAGATACATTTTATAAAGACAAGTTCAATCAATTACTCACTGGCAACATCGTACACAATTACAGCGACAGAAGAATCTCTGATGTAGCTCGGAATAAGACTCCTAAATCTCTCCTGACCAGCAGTATCCCTGTATACGTGAAGATATTACATCAGGAAAATTATAAAATGAAGCAAATTATTAAATCAGTAGTAAGATGAGTGAAACAGCATCTGACAAAACCACAGCAGAATGTTACAATTACTAGCTGACTCCAGTGCTATTTGAGAAACAGATAACTTTGTGTACTCGTCTGTATAAGGTTTTGCTAGTAATAGGGAAAATTAACCTCTTTGCTAGGTGCAGAAGTTTGAATAGGCATGGTCGTATGATAACTTTTCATCTCAACTATATTCAGTATAACTTTGGTTCTAAAGATGCAGAGTAATTTCTGCATTTGCTCCACTTCAAAGCATGTAATGTTTTGTGAGAGCTAGGTCAACCAACCTTCCACCTAGGTGCATTACCTTGTCTAGGCACGAAATTCTAAAGCAATTCATCTCTACTGTACTCAAGAGTTCTTTGATTATAAGATTGGAAGGATATAGTATCCTCGATAATCAAGCTTCTTAATTTTGACATATAAGAACATCAAAACAGTCAATCTGTACCGTATACATGAAATATTCATGCATAACTAAATCTCTTCGTCTCTGCTTTCCTTAACCCCAAGAAAGAGTAACCAAGGTTGAAGGATAACCAGATATTTGTAGATTTTGCTCAGTGTTTAAATAAAGGCTCTCTTAGTTAACTAAAGTATTCTAGGTTCCCTTTCACATTTCAAGTATATTCTTAGACAACAACTCTGCAAATGATGAAACAACAATTTTAGTCAAGCAAAACGAAGAACAGCAGAATATAATTCTATCACGTATGCGTTAGAAACAAAAGAGAGACAGCCTACCAGAGCTGCAAGCGAACTGTTCGATCTTCAAGGTACATTGTCTTGGACAAAAAATCAATACCAATGGTAGCCTGCACATTTAGGAACACGATAAACAACAAGTTGATACTAATTCAAATGATCTGCTTGAGAAATTGACCAACTCCTCTATTCTAAACTGTCACAAAGAAAGTGGGAAGTTGGACGTGGAGCAGATCTGAAAATAAATCTGTTCAAATAATGGATTATATTTTGTTTGCCAAAAATTGTGGAAGAGATTAACGACACAACTGAAAGTCTTAGGTACAATATGAAGAATAAACTTCCATGTCAATCAATTGATTCCCATCAAGTCCTCGCATACTTATTTTTTGGGTTAAAAAGTTCACTCAAAGTCAGTAACCAAGAAATAAAAATGCATTTCAATGCAACCCTAAGAGCCTGCAGTCGTTGCTGACATGGTGTTTGTCTCTTTATGAGGCTCGATATTCGTTAGCACCACTAGCCATTTTTATTATACATCTAAAAAGGAGTTTGTAAGTGAAAAAGAATTAGGGCTGCATGTGAGGGAATATGTTGAAGACATAATTAAGTAAATAAAAGTGTATTGTCTCTAAAAGCTCAAGTTTTTAGATGAGATGGTCATACAATTCAACAGTTAGTTTGACAGAGGTTCCTTACGAGCATGTTCTTAGTTCTAAATATCGGTCTTTGAAAGAGTGACCAGTTAGGATATAGGAAATCACGTTACTTGAAAATCAAAGAAGAAAAATGAGAACTTGAAATAAAAAATAGCAAGAATCGAGATCCAACAATTGTATCCTAAAAGAACAGTAGATATTACTCAAAATATCTGACTGAAAATGAGAAACTGGCGAAGCATAAATCACGTCGAGACCAAAAGACACCAATGATCTACACAAATAATTGTAATAAAAAAAAACACAAAAGATTTTTTGTTGGAACTTCTAAACTATAGAATGTCAATGTCAACTCCACCCATGGGATCTTCTAGTGTGTGCGTATGTGAAGAATTTATATGGTTAGTTCTAACAATTTGTGATTCAAGTATAGCTGATTGATTGATTGATCTAATGATAGTAATATAATTTTTTACGAATTGGAATAGGTTTGAATATAGCAGAATGTATACAGAGGATTCATACAGTCAACCCCAATATTTCATAATTGAGCCAAGTAAATTGATCGAATATTGTACGCAAATCCCAACAAAAAGATACAATTTTGACGATGATTTCGAGAAAATTGAGAAGCAATAAGAAGAGAATTTTTATATAACCAACTCCAACTAATTTGTGACTGAGACTTAATTGATTGACTATATGATCCAATGTCAAAACTATAGGAGAACAAAACATAAAAAGGACAACGAAAAGGGAAATTATTTACGAAATTGAAACGGTAATCAATATAAAACATTGGAAATGGGAGATAAACCTGGTAGGTGGTGTCGAATTTATCGTACATGAAGCGAGTAATGATGCTAGTTTTTCCAACAGATTGATCTCCCAAGAAAACCAGCTTGTATTTTGCTAATGGCGAAACTGCCGCCATTTTATTGAATTCTCCTTCTCTTCTTCTTCTTCACTCTCTCGAAGATGAGATCTGAATCGGCGGAAAGAGAGAGAAAGAGAGAAGAGAGAAAATTGAGGAAGAGAGAAAATTGAGAAGAAGGAAACAATGTTTTTGAATTGTCAATTTGTATTTACATACATACGACTCCGAGAAGAAACCGCCAACTAAATGCTTCAGCACCAACTAGTCAAATCTTTCCTTCCTAGGGAAAAAGTTTCAAAACGACATCTATGCCCCTAACATTTCCTTTAATGACGTTCTTGTCACTAGAATGGCTCGAAGAGAAAATACGAGTCTAGAGGAACCAGAATTTGAATATTCTGGGATCGAGTTCGGATTTTATTTTATTTTTTATTTTTTGTTGAAAAATTTACAGGAAAATTCGCAGTCGTTACCCTTCGGGTGCGCACTGTGCAGCATGCTCACCAGAGAAGGATATAGTTGTATACCGTCGAAATAGATTTCGGTCTTCCTACGTTCGATCGAGTTCAAGTGGTAAGAAGTCGGAGTGGGACTTTGGGAACGAGCTCCGAAGATAGTACTAACGAGCCTCGAGTCCGAAGGCTGCTCGAGGAGTCGGCTCGATAACCTTATCGAGCCCGTTACCAAATCGATCCGCAAGGCATTGCTTCGAGGTCGGAAATGCGCGACGCTCATCCCGAAGGTCGAACTCTAGTCAAGACCGAAGGGCTCGACCCAATAACGAGTTCAAGCCAGTATCAAGCACACAGACAATAGCCGTTGCAACCGCATCAAGAGAGAGAATCTTGGCGGGAATCAAGGAAGGACAAATCATCATGAGTCCTCCACTATATACTTTATTTTATTATTTTTTGTTATAAATAAAGTAATGACCCTCTACTATAAAAGGGATACTTGTAAGCTATGGTGGCACGGAAGAGATTGGAACAAAAAAGATCTTTTCTCATATACAAAGATATCAACTTGTGCTTGTTTTACTTCATCTTATTCATTCTTTCTGTTCATCATTCTCATTCTCATAATCAAAATACTTGTATTGTTATCTTTATATCAAAGGGTATTACGTATCCTTAGAACCATACATAAATTTAACATTATCCGATTTTTCGGGTAAACACATCTAAAGTAGAAAAGCCGAAAAAAACATAAAACATAAAAATAATTAACCAAAACTTAATACTAAGAAGCTAAGATAATTCGTATATTCGTAAAATAGAAATGAATTAAATGTTATGACAGGACAAAAATGATACAATGTTGTGCTATTTCTCACCTTTTTTGGTGCTGGAGTATACTGAACGTAGAAAGAGAATCATCTGAATCACAAAACAAAAAACAAAATAAAAATATAAACATACAATACAAGAATAAAAAAATTAATCAAACATTAAGGAACGGCTTCCTACAGAGAGTGTAGTGATGAGAAGAAATAGTTCCAGCATTGAAGTTCCTGATAAATTGCTTACAAACCTGAAAACGAAAATTCAAATCAATATTGCAATTTATAGATTTGCTGTTTGAAATAAGTGAAAAAAGAAGATTCGTACTCTTCCTTGAGATGCTTATTTGGATTAAAGGACTTCATATTCAATGGAGGATCCATGGCCGGTCAAGGTAAGGCAGCAAGTGAAGCCCCAAAAATATGAAGCAAATATTATATTATTATATAATATATGTATAATTTATATTTATACAATTATTAATAAAAGATTTCAAATTTTAATATTTTTAAAATTTTGGTAGAGTTAAGATTGAGTGAATTAACAGGATACATTGTTTCTCTTACTAAATTAAATAAAATATTTACCTTTTCGTCAATTCTATTTTTCTTTCTTTGTGTATACTTATTTTTGCATATTTTTTGTGATTTTACTTTCTAATTTTAACTCAAATTTTCAAAATTAACCATTTCTTTTTGTCACACTTGATTGATCCACACGTCAAGTTCTTCTGTGTCTCATCTTTTATAACTAAGAAATTCCTGAGACAGGTCTTGTAAGGTTCAGAACACTATGGATAATGGACTCACCCCTTTACTATTTTCACTTAAGGGGAGAGTTCAATAGCATGACGTGCACCTAACCCACACATGATGACATGCTCTCACTATGAGGTCAAAGAAAATAATAGGAATCAATATATATAACTAATTTTTGGCGAAGAGGCGTCAATGGACACCCTTTAGCATAAGATGGCTCTGCCACTACTTGCGTTAGCTGATTGTGAATATATAGCTGGAAAGTATTTTTAATAGTTGATACTGATTTTATAAATAAATAGTTATTCCATCCGTTTCAAAAATATTGACACTACTTTTTTTATTAATTTGTTCAAAAAGATTGTCATCTTTTAATATTTTCTTAATAAGAAGTATTTATAGCCACACAAATTTCAAAAGCTTTACAGCCACACAATTGTTATAGTTTATTTAAGATCATATATCTCAAAAGTATTTCCTTCTTTATTAAAGTTTGTGCTAAATCAAACTAAGACAATCTTTTTAAAACGGAGAGAGTACATATTTGAATATAAGTACTGAAACTGATAATAAGGAATTGATATATATTAGTAAACAAATATTGATAAGGAGAGCCTTGGAGCAATGGTAAAATTGTCTCTCAGTAACCTAAAAGTTATGAGTTCGAGTCGTGGAAGCAGCCACTAATGCTTGTATTAGGATAAGTTATCGACATCACACCCTTTAAGGTGCACCCTTCCCCAAAACCCGCGTGAGTGCGAGATGCTTTGTGCATCGAGCTGCCCTGCTTGAATTGTTTTTCTTTAAATAACTAACACACCCTTAATTTTTTCCCAAAAAATTAAAAACTTAATAATCTTTGTAAAAAAAAAAAAAAAGAGGAGGAACGGTGAATATGGAGTGAAGAGGTCAATGGAAGATTTATTGTGGAGAAGGTATTTTAAAAAATTAGAAAAAATATTAAGGATAAAATAGTATAAAAAAAAACTTGCCATAAAAAAGTGCATATAAGCTGAAAAGCCCCATAAGTTAGGACTGATAAACTTATGATTTTTGGTTGATTTTGGCTTATAAACACTTTGATGTTTATCGAATACGTAAATAATCTAAAAAATGCTTATAAGCTAGTTTGACCAGCAAACCACCCTCATAATTTCACTCATCAAGAAAAAAAAATACAAGAATACTATCCATAGATCAGCTAATGGTATTTTACCTGACAAAAATTTGTGAAAGATAACTGTATAGGGTAAAATATGTTATGTTATGTGGCCACCCAAAAGAGAAATACGTGGAACCTAAGACGAGGAATAGCCAAAATCGAAGGGAACGGTCCAGTCTGTCACCGGAAAGAATAATGCTCATAAGGATGTAATAAATACTCTTCGCCCGGTAGCATTGAATGGAGAATATTCCACAACATTAAGTACATTGCCCGTTACAAAAAATTTGGCATTTATGCTCACCGTTACATCTTCATCGATGACCCTCATAATTGACATTAAAGAAGGCACGATCCTAGGACCTCATTTCCTAGACGTAGCTATAAATAGTGAGCTCTGTTATTATTATAAGGGGAGAAATTTTCTGGCAATCCAATACTACAATCTACTCAAAGCTCTAATGTCACGACCCAAAATCCCACCACAAGCGTCGTGATGGCACCTAGTCTCTAAGACTAAGTAAGCCGATTTACATTACATTTCGAAGCCTTTTTTTTTATAAACGAAACCAACAACGAAAATAATTATAACAACCTCCCAAGACTGGTAGTATTGAGTTACGAACTCTAACATAATACATGAAATGATCTTAATGATCGAATACTCAATACTGTTTGATTAAAAATTAACAGTATAATAAAATGAACAGACTCCAAGGGACTGCGATGACCAAGCAGCTCTACTTTGAATCTTTGCGATCACACTCTAACTTTGTCCAGGTCCGATACCTCCAATATCTGACTCTGCACAAAAATGTACAGAAGTGTAGTATGAGTACACCACGATCGGTACCCAGTAAGTATCAAGACTAACCTCAGTGGAGTAGAGACGAGGTACAGTCAAGACACTCACTAGTCAAATAACCTGTACAATATAGCAGTATACAATAGTACTGGAAAAAACTAGCAATGATAACAACAAACTCAATCAGTGACATAACAACAAGGCAATAACAACATCATAATTATTACTCAGGCGAATAAAGAACACAAGTACAATCAACAAGTCAAGTCATTCAAATATAAATCCTTCACATATTATTCTTTAAGATAAATATCTTTCGAATATACTTCTTTCGAATAATTATCTTTCAAATATAATTCTTTTCAATAAATATTTTTTCAATTAAAAGTCACCATGTGACACCTCATTTTACAATCATAAAAATTACGGGTCTCAGCCCACTTTCATATTTTCCACGGCACCTCGTGCCCATATTTCTATCACCATCACACCGACAACTCACGTGTCAATAATAAAATCATCATATTTTTCTCCGACACCTCATGCCCATATTATTTTCATAACTGCACGGACAACTCACGTACCAAAATATCAATGTATATAAGATCCGCATGATCAATTTATTTTCAATAAAGTAAGGTTAAAAAACTTTAAATCAAGTAAGAAATCAATAAAAAGATAAGTTTATTTTAGAAATCGTTTGAGCGAGGAAAAATGACATTTCCATTAAAATAAAGTATCAGCTAAACTACTGATTTGGATATAGAATTTATTAAATTAAATATACTAGAAATTTTTCTTTTATTTAAAACAACTCAATCATAAAAAATAAGTACAACCGAAAAATACAAATCCTCAAAGTCTTGTACAAAAAAGTCAAGGTCAACACAATACACCAAGAAATACAAAGCACTTAATATTAAGTCAAATAATACATCACGAAAAATACAAAAATTTACAAATTACGGAAAAATAAAATAACCAAAGGCAAGTGCATCCATAGAAAATATCAACAAAAGGGCACTCCCGAAGTAACGCCTCGTAGTCCCAAAAATAAATATGCAAGACAAGGGAAATCTCCCGAGGTACCGCCTCGTAGTCCCAAAAGTAAATATGCAAGGGAATCTCCCGGAATACCGTTCTGTAGTCCCAAAGTAAATGTGCAGGGGAATCTCCCGGAATACCGCTCCGTAGTCCCAAAGTAAACGTGCAGGGGAATCTCCCGGAATACCGTTCCGTAGTCCCAAAGGAATCTTCTGGAATATCATTCCGTAGTCCCAAAGTAAATGTGCAGGGGAATCTCCCGGAATACCGTTCCGTATTCCCAAAGTAAACGTGCAGGGGAATCTCCCGGAATACCGTTCCGTAGTCCCAAAGTAAATGTGCAGAGAAATCTCCCGGAATACTATTCCGTAGTCCCAAAGTAAATGTGCAGGGCAGGGGGATCTCCCGGAATACCGTTCCGTAGTTCCAAAGTAAATATGATTTCAACAACTACACATCAAGTGCTCACATATCACAACTTGCCACAAAAATCAACAATACATTATTTTTCACAATAAGGAGCCCATGGCTCGACCATAATGTGTACAAAATCTTAACAAAATATATTTCACATAAATTAAAGTGGCAATCACACCAAATCATCATATAAAAATAATTTCAACAAACAAGGATCTAGGCATGACAAATAGAGGATTTAATAAGTGTCAATAATTTTCAATTTAATACATAAGGGCATCTAAGGATTTTTAATCAATGAAATTCGCACATATAAACCAAGTACGTACTCGTCACCTCGCGTACATGGTTTTCAATTACACAATTTGCACATAAAACTCAATGTCTAAGGGAAAATTCCCCCACTCGAGGTTAAGTAAGACACTTACCTTTTTGAAGTTAGGCCGATATTCCAAAATCGCCTTCTTGCTTGAATTGACCTCCGGACGGCTCCAATCTTTCTTGAGCGTTCCTTACATTACTACGAGGTTCCGAAAATTCTAGCAACTTCAATCTATTTAGAAGCATAACAAAAGTGAACCATAATAAGGAAGATTTTCATGTTTTCAGCTCATTTGAGCATTTTATCAAACACTAGGTGTGCAAATTTGGTTACAAGGTTCTTCTACAAGATTTCTTTCATTTCATAACTCAATCTTTACTTATTTGATGTCAACAATCTTCCTACAAATCTTATTGGTATAATCATATATACATAATACTATTACACCCAAGAATCATACTCCCAATCACCAATCTTTTACCCCAAACTCGAAATTGAAGACTAGGGGTTGAATCTTACCTCTTTGATGAAGATCTTGTGATTAGCTTCCTTGATTCTTGAAGATTGGATGATTTGAATGTTAGGTTCCCTCCTTATCTCTCTAAAATGCTCTTACCTCTCTCTAAAACCCTCAGAAAAACACCCCAAAATAAGCCCCAAAGCCTATTTATCAAAATGGGGTCGAGTTATAAAAATAGAAAAATTAACCCTCTGAAAGCAGGTCTGCGGTCGCATAATGGACCGCAGAATGGGTATGCGGGCCGCAAAACTGATCGCAAAATCGGTGCCCAGAACTGGGCTCTTCTGGTCCATTCTGCGACCAGTTTGCGGTCGCAGAAGTAGTTTTGCGATCGCATAATTGGTCGCAGAATTGCATTTTTCCAGCCTTTGGTAATTTGGTCATAACTTC